TAGAGATTCATTATTAGAAAATCTAATATCACATTGATTTTTCTTTAACGAGTCTAAAAATTCATCAATACAATACCCGGGTATAAAAAATAAACACTTTGAACTATCTAATTCAACTTTACCACTGCTTTTAATTTTTTTAACTATCAATTCGCCAAAATTTTCATATACTTTGTTATATGTAGTACGCATATACTCATTAAAATCTTCAATACAACTTTCTTTATCTAAATCTTCTTTACTGTTAATTTCTTTTTTCTTAAAATTACTATTTAATTGTCTTACTATTGAATTAATTTCTTCTTTAGATACATAACTGTATTTAGATTCAAGTAATTTTATAATCAAAAATACATTCTTTTTTAAGAAATTCTTTGATTTTACATATTCTTCAATCATTTGTTTAATTTCATCATCATCTTTTAATATTATCTGTGAATTATTACTTACTAAGACACAACCAAGGCAAATATTCACTTTAAAGAAAAATTTCAAAAATTTCATGGTTAAAAAATAAATTTATTTTATAAAAAAAGGATTTAAATGTAAATTATAAATAATTAAAAAATTATAAAGTCTTTTAATTACAAAACTAACATAAATATTTAGTTTGTTTTTAGTTATAATTTTATAAATAATCTTGAATCAAAAATGGTAAATTGAAGTCATAAATCAAGATTATGTCAAACCATTAAAATTTTATAAATTAATAACTATTTAAAAATTATTTTAAGTGAATAACATTGTGACATCCTACGTCACTATGAATTGATTTATAAACCAATCATTAAATGATTGATCAATTCCCCCTTTATAAATATTTAAAGAAAATCCCTTTTAAATAAATGATATTAAACAAACAAATCTTTAAAACATTTAACACGTGAACAGTCCTTGAACCGTGCAAGGAATACTACAACGCATACCTCCTACCGCACAGGGTATGACAAATATAACAATTTAAGAAAGTTTTTCTTGATTTGAGGTCATAATTATAGTAATTAAGAAATCAAAAGAAATTTTATTTTTTAAATAATTTTTTCAATGATTTTAAACATTTTTTGAAATTTTTTTAATAAAAATTCTAACTAAAAATAAATACTATCGAAAACTCTAGGGGATAATGTAACTAATTTAATCAACTTATCTGTAGAAATACATTTAAGTTCTGGGTCTTGTTCCTCCTTATTTATTTCTTAGATTGTATTAATTGTTGTTTTAGCATTAACTATTTGTATTTATAATCAGAGTAAAAAATTATCAATAAAATTTATAGTTAAGTCGGTTAGTTTTCACTTCACTTTTATTCATTATTTTAGTTTTATAAAATACTGATTACATATTACGATAAATACAAACAAAAGATTTAGTTCTTAATTTAGATAAATCAATTTATCAAAATACTAAATAATTTTATAATTTCTTTTGTATTCTTTAAATTGATTTTTTAAATCATCTTAATCAAATCTAAATAACCACACTAACGAATTTTGATTAAATTTTTAAACACTATAGGAAAAAAATATTTTTGTGTGATTATTAATATATCTATCTTTGACACTTTCTTTTAAATATTTGATTATTTAATAATCGTCATTGAGAATTTTATATGCATTAATAATCTTACTAACATCAATGGTATTGGATGAAAAAAGATTTTCGAAATGATTAGATTTAATTAACTACTGTCGAAGTCTACAGAAGATGCGTAAACTAATTTATTATTATCTAACTGATCTACATTGTCTTTAGTAACGTTATCTATCTCTATCTCTTTAATTATTAATAATTCTCAAATGTCTTTCGTGTCCATTTTCTATGGGTAAAATTTTTTATAAAATATTTAAGCTTAATTAAAAATTTCCAAATATACCTCATTTACGCAAATAGAGAAACTATATTAATATGAGTTACAACAACTACAAATAATTTTTTAAACTTATTTTTATCTATTTTAAACTCTGGTTGATATTTAAAAACAGAAAATGGATTTTCTTTCATCATAAAAAATTTAACCCAAAAATGAAAGAAAATTTAATTAGTTTTAAAAAATTGAAAAAATCTAAGAACAAAGATAAAATAGGTCTAAATGAAGAATCTAAGATAATAAAAACCAATAAATTAGAAATAAATCACCAAACTATCAATATGAAAATAAAAAAATATTGTGATCAATTAGAATGTAGATATAAGAAATCCGCAGTGAAACAAGAACAATTTGAAAAGTTTAATGAGAAAGAAAAATTTATTAAGAAGAAAGAATTAAAGAGGTTTTATAAGAGTAAAGAATCTAAAGTGATAGAAAATGAAAACAACTTTTATAAATCTTTAAGTAATGAATATAAAGAGATATTATAAAACTAATATAAAAAACATAGTTAATTTAATAACATTACATTTAATTAGAAACGGTGAAAGATTATTAATATTTAAGATGTTACTATCATTTGCAGAAGACATACATAATGACATTAAGTTGTTGGTTTGTAAAAATATATTAGGAATATTAATTGAATTTAGAACAATTAAAGACAATTATATTTTAAATAGAATACTTACCACATTCGAAATACAAGCAAGAAATAATTATATTAAGCAACCAATACATAACATTATCTACAAACTTATAAATAATGATATTTATGTTAATGAATTTCTTCCAATTATTATAGATACAAATCATATAAGGGTTTTATTAAAAGATGATAAGTATAGTGATGTTATTGTTGATAACATGGAAGAGTGGTTTTATAAGAAAGATAGTTTTAAATTTAGAAATCAATTTTTAAAATTAATTAGAGGCATAAAATGTAAAAAATTATTTGAATTTTATAACTTACTCGATAAAGGTGATAATTATAAGAAAATAGAAAGAGAAAGTATCATTAAAAGTATTATTGATGGGTTAATTTTGAATTATCAAGAAGGTAAAGAAATTAACAGATATTTTATTGATTATATAAAAATACTAGTAACATTGACATTAACATGATGGAATTGTTATTTAAAATTAAAGATGAAAGTATTGTGGGCGTGTTAATGAAAATGATTCGAAAAAATTTAACAAGAAGTCAAGAACAGAAATTAATTTTAATGATATCTGACAACTTTTTTAGAAAAAGAAAAGAATATATGCTAAAATTATTAGAACATTCTACATTTAGAAGTGAAATGTTTATTACCCTTTTGATTAAAGTATTATACTCATTTAAGATTAATTTATATGATTCATTTATTGTTTACTTCTTTAAAGATCATTATCAACCAATTGTAAGAAAAATTATTGACGAGTATGATATAGTAAAATATTTTGATTCATTTGATGATGTTGTAATTAATTTACTTGAATAAAATTTTTTATTTAAAATTTTAACAGAGAATTTAAAATGATAATGAGAAAATCTTATTTATTGAAAAATGTTGATAAAATGATTATATATGATAATTATACTAACCAAATGGGTGTGGAACAATACCAGAAAAGAGAGATATTGAAAAGTATATAAGTTTCGGTGTAGTTGTTGTTGATAA